AAAAAAAAAAATGGGCAAAACAGGTGAATATGCTCTTCATGAAAGAAGATACACAATAAGCGTATGAGAAAGTGCTCATCCAACACTGTCTGTCATCAGGGAAATGCAATTTAAAGCCACAACAGGCTACCACCATGCAGGCACTGGACTAAAGGGTTAAAATGAAAAGGACTGACAACATCTATTCAGCAAGGAGGTAGGGCAACTGGACCTCTCAGACTAATGTGTGGTCCAACCACTTTAGAAAGCTGTTAGGCAGTGTCTTTAAAAAGCTAAAAATACACCTCCCTTGATCCAATATCACTTCTAGATATTTATCTGAGAAGTAAAACTACATATCCACAACAACTGTGTAAGAACATTCAAAGCAGCTTAATTCATAATATTCAAAAAACAGAAAGCCCTGCAGATGTCCATCAATAATTGAATGGATAAGGGAATTGTAGAATTATCCACTCAGTGGTATACTTACTCATCAATGAGAGGAAGCAGACTGCTATTGATGGATTATCTACCCCACGCGGCAGCATGGATGAATCTCAGCGTGTGCTGTACTGAGTGAAGGAAGCCAGACATAAAAAAGTGCATACTGTATGATTCCAGGAATGTCATGACCTTGACGCTGTCATTGTACTCAGAGGCCTTGGCTTGGGCGGCCCAGAAACTCCGTTTATTATTATTATATAAATTACCAAAATCACTCCATGTAGTGAGTGAATTACTTAGTATGTTCTTCTGGCCACCCTGTGGCTCCCTCCCAGTTGACTGGGTAGAACTCTGCAAATGGTAAGTACTTGTGGACCACTAAGGGACTGGATAGCTTGCTAACAATGTAAATAAGGTACTTGGCACCTTGTGGGGGTGGGACTGTGCCAATAAGGTATACAGAACCCTAATGTGAGGCTTGATCAGTTTTGCCAGCTCTCTAGGCTTAAAATGAGCCATCCCAGTATTGGAAAGGGGGGGAGCTCACTGCCAGCAAGACGAAGAAACAGCAGGAGTGGAGCTCATCCTTGGAACCGAGATCCTGCACCGGACCTCCTTGGCTGAGAGGCAAGAGAACCAAGAGTCAGTGTGGCAGGTTTGCCGGCCACGAAGTGAGAAATCTAGGTGCCTCTGGGCAGGAGGCTTGCTGACAGAGCGGGGTGCACCCATTGCCAGAGCTAAAAGAGCTTTTTAACACTTGCTTGAGCAGGGCAGAGGCCAGGCCAAGAGGCCAAGGGCCA